GCACCATGGTAATATCCAGGCATCATTGAAGGTTCTTCATTAGGAGGTGACATGTCAACAGAGACCAAACATTTTATCCAACATGACCAATCAACGGGAGATACAAATTTACTTAAACAAAGTAACAGCTAATACTCGTTCCAAAAGAGTCGGCCGTCGTATTCCAGTGGACAACACTTCGACGTTTGAAATGATGGGTGCGCGGTTCGGGTCTCAGTGGGAACACCATCACTTAATAGGGATGCAAGTAGAACCACATGACGAAGTGAGCATCCTGGATCCTACTGCTAGTCATCCTCAACCAAAATAACATGATGTTGATCTTCAGACGCCTTCTAAGCGCCCGTACTGGGAGTCAGCATGGCAACAGACACAGAAGGTTTCGTTCCGAAATAATTGATCGGTGGAAAATGCAAACTGACTTAGACAGTGCATTCCATTCTTTCTGTTGGTTTATCACCTCAAGAAATTCGAAAATGATTTCAATACTTTACTCTGTTCTGAATAAAATATGTAGTTAACCTTGTGGGTGCTGTGGTAGTTTTGTTGCATCGCAATCTTAGATGTGAAAATTGTTCGACAGTCTCTAGGCGTAGTTGTAAGTGTTTCATGGTCAGGCTTGGCGATACCATTAGTTTGGATAGCGTTACTAGAAGACGGAGATTATCTGAAAAATGTGATGTATTTGCGCTATACATTTCCAACAATCTGATCACACATTTACTTGTCAAGTCAATATGTATGAAAAAGTTAAATTAAACAAAGTGACAAAAAAAAGGATTTAAAAATGATCAACACAACGTTTGGTAATCCAATCAAATAAGGATTACCAAGGTAGGTTAAGAGTAATAATAAACGGCTTTTGAATACACATGGGGGGGGGGGGCTTAAGTTTATGAATCTCTATAGCCTCAGCGTATTTCAATAAGCCGCTAATTGAAGACGCTTAGTTCTAATTTCATCAAGAAGAACATTAAAAAACTTCCATTCTGATCCTGCGCTAAAAATTTTTTTCTATTATTTTAAATGACTTAAGCAACTTTTTCAGTGGAGCTTCCAATGTCAGTCTAGGTGTCTTCTGAAGTTTTACTTCAAGAGGAAGAAAATTCAGCATAATATTCACCAGTAGTTATAGGCTGCTTCTTCACAATATGAATCATTTTTTTTCAAATGGTTCGCTAGTGGAGATTTAATTTGCTGAGACCTGCTGAGATTTTGTTAGGTAAGTCGTTATCCTACGGAAATGTTTGTTGTTTCAATCTTCACCAATTTAAAATAAGCTTATATCAGATAACGAATTCGTATAGAATCAATAGTCTTCGAACTGTAGTATTGCAGTGTAATGTAATGACCTTATTTAGAAAATGACAGAAAACGTATTCACCTAGTAAGCCTATATGGTTAATAGTATATTAACACCATAATCTAAAAATCAGGCACAATAAAACCCGAATAATGGACAACACAACAGTGTAATGTGTGCACATAAACATTTGCTTGAATAAGAATTGCTAATGGAATTGAATAAGCATTATTTTCACATAGTTTTTAATTTATGTACTGACTTAATTTATTTACTTACTGTGTTCATTATTCTGTTGGTGAGAGAAACGTTGTTAGAAATATTAAATTACACAGTGATTTCAGTCTAAGATATGACAATAATCACATTTCAGTCCAGTAATACAAGGAGGAATAAATTTCTTCGCCAAATGCGACTGCTGAGTTACTTGTAGTAATAAATACAATAGTGCAATTTACAATTTAATTGGTGTACAGACATAAAATTATACCAGTTTCATGGAATAAAATACGACAATAGTAGTAGTGCTATTATTATTACTAGTGGTGGTAGTGTGGTAGGCTCTACTAACAAGATTTTATAAGTAGTATGTTGTGTGTTGCCTTCTGAAAAAATTTTGAGTAGCTAAGGGACAGATTAAATGACGAAGAGGAGAAATGCATGATCTTTGTGCAACAACATAGAAACCATGAAAGGAAGATCGAAGAAGAACAGTACGGAGATGTGTAAATGGAGATTTCAGTGCAAGTTATGTGCATTTCGCCATATCCACACATTACGAAGTACTACCGTGTTCTGCTGTTATAGTGAACGAAGAGGAAGAAATAATGGAGGAAAAAGTTTATTTAAAGAAATAAAATAGATAAAGTTTAACATAACTCTCAGACTGTAGCAGCGAAAACAGCCGTGTTGTAGTCTGAACGCTGGAATGCCATCTTCGCGTTCAACCGTATAGTTAACCAAAACTTCTTGAAATTACTCAGGGTCCTAAAGTGCCTCGAAAACAGATGAAATCTGTGGTATTATTTAACCATAATAGCATATCAAAACTCAAAATTACCTCAACAATGATGTTTAGCAGCTTTATAGAACCGGTAGTTCCTCGAATACAAAACAAGTACTACACAACAAAATTACTTCACCAAAATCAGCTGTAAGAATTACTTTAAAACCAAGAAGAATATTCCCAACAAGGTGGGAAAAAAACTCTCACCACAATGAAAAGGTGATCACTGGTAGTAAGAATAATATTCCTTTGTTATAAAACATTATGGTTCTGAGTTATCCAAGAATAAAAGTCGATTTACTCAAGTAACTAACTTGTACTCCTACAAATTACTTTACACGTTATCTTCTCAGCAATACTTAATGTTGGCAAAAGGATCATTTTAAGAATTCAATCCAGAATACTGTATAACAATGGTACAGAAATTAGTGAGAAAGAAAAAGCATAGTGTTGGCAAAAAACACTTCTTAAATATGCATGGTGTTTAACGGCTTCTTAATATTCGTACTGCGAGGTCCGTATGAATTAATAACGTTGTTATGGTTAATTTTAATACCTGATAATGAAACATGGTTTTTATTTCAACTTTCTCTGAAAGTTTCATTATAAAACTTAATGCATTAATTATCTATCCTGCATGCTAACACTGAGTAACACTAGACAAAGAATATTAAATTAAAATATAGTTTAATCAATGACGGAAGTCCAAGTCGAACTGGATAGTCTCCTCATACTGTTTTTGGATTATGAAAGGGTACACACTGACAAAGACATGCAATACAAAGTTTAAGACTGTTGGATCTCAAGGTAATCACGTCAATACATAGCCACGGATTCGAATCACTAAGTCTACAGTTTTTAAAGTTTTGAAGGAAAGTTACACTCTCTGATGAGAAATAGTCTTTACGACGGACCAGAAAATTTCTATATTCATACAATCTGTGATAAGAAGTTATTCCAACAAAATGAGTTTTAAGTGGGAGTATTTTAAAATCATTGAGTAAATCAGCTTCCGTCTTTTTTTTAACAAAAGTTGAAACTTAGCTACATAATATAAAATGTTTTTATAATATGACTACTAAAGAAGATGTATACACACTAAGATGTGTTTCACTGTCCGACAGACTAAGGGAAACTGTTCGATGTGTAAATTATTAGCATCTCTGTAATGTTGCATGAAAAACCACATAGCTTCTAGCTACAGATAATAATTCAAACAAGTTCAGGGAAACAGACTGAACATAACCATCTATCAATTGTGGATGAAGGACTGTGCCAATGGAAGACAGCAGAGTAAAGCAGGAAAAATAAAAGGACAAACAAAACTTAGGAACAAGTACTGGCAACCGATTACAAACCGTTTATTATTTTTAAAGGAATATGAGTAAATAGAAGGATTTCTGTAATGACATATCAGTAGCGGTAATTGTATGTCCTGAACTATCAAAAATTTTAAAATATCATACTTACAATAGAAAAAGGTGTTTAACTTAAGCTGCTTTAACAAGGATAATCCTAAATGTGTTGCCTATACTCGAATTAGAAAATTCAACTGGAAAAGCTATGAAGATACAAAGAACAAGAATGATAATGATTACTGTAAATCTTTTTGGAGACATCACAAAATTACACAAGTGTGAAAGATGTAGCATGGAATCACATATTGTTAAGTATAATTTAATAAATTTTGAATTAATGTCTGGAATTAGTTTCAAACTCAAAGATTTGAAGCAAATATATATTCAAATTTTTATTCTCAGTGTTCTTTCAATTGTAATCAGTGAATTCATGACTTATTTCATCTGCGTCACTCTCATATCATCAAGCTTTCAGTGACAGAATTCTCATCACATAAACAAAGATGTCCCACAGATCCACTTATCATAGGTTATTACAGCAGTCTTTGATAGTGGATTCATTTTTTAAAATAAAGTGGGCAACAGAACTGCCAAAACCTGAGTCGTAATTACCAGACGTTTCATCCTACTTTATAGCTTTATAGCAGTGCTCAGATATACCCAAATGTTGAATCAAGACCAAGTTCATTAGGTTTCATTTTGAAAGCCTTATCATTCAAAAATTACGTTAGGAACTAATCAGTCTCAAAGAATAACTTTTACATATTTAGGAGGGAAATCGGCAGCCGTTGAATATCCTCAGTGAGTAGTACTTTACGTCCTCAACTTGAATGATTGCATCAATCCTAACTTCTCATTGGAAATTTGGAAAATTCTTCATTTAGCCAGATATTTTTGAATAATAAGCTGTTATTTGATTGGGAAGCTCTAAGGAAGATAAGTGTTTGAATTTCATTTTAGACCATTGACTGAAATATGACGTGCTTATCCCAAAATCTAACGGTTCTGGATTAGAGTTCATATATAGTTGTTGGCATACCCTGAATACCTACCTACAGCTCTTTGGTTAGAAATGATTATTTAGGCAGTGTTAGTCCAAGATTGCAAACAATTTGAAGTCAGTAAGGTCTCACAAGTAATACCTTTGCAGAACAAATCAAAAAATTATTACTCTGATGCTTCAAAATATTAAAAATATGCAATTTCACACATTTAACCTCATTTCAATCTGCTTCATGAATAACCTAAACTTCATTGAGCGTCACGCATAACTAAACACATTCAATATAATATAAATAGTAAACTAATATATAAAGTGAAGCCATTAACTTACAATTCTGGCAGAGGACAAATGTTCCCACTTATGTATTGTGAATCTTCTGAATGCTGAGCAAGAATTCTGGTACTTAATACATGTCTACGATAATCAGAAATAAATGTATGTGAATTATTAGGAGGACAGAATAAATGGAAGTGAATAGACTGATGTCTCCGAGGTGATTTTGTAATAAGTATGAGTGAACTATTTGAATCTTTCTGATTTCTAGAAGACGTCTTGATCAAACTTTGCAGAAGGGATTGCATATCATCATCAACATCAAGTTCAAATCTGTCACTATCCAGAGGAAAACTATTTATCGAATTTAAACTACAGAAATATTTATGACTAGGCTTCAATTTCAAAGTTTTGTTAAACATTGACTCTTGAAATTTCGGAGCCTTGGTATCAGAATTCATAATAATTTAACAGATTGCGGAAAAATTAAAGTGCATTAGAGAGTAGCAAATATATGTAACATTCTTTGGAACATAAACTGATTTGCACTAAATTCTATAAAAATGGAGTGGAGTAAATATATTGGTAAGCGATGTGAATAAGTCAATTACGTAGTCAAGGTTACAGCGTGGCCTTGAGTCAACCAATGAGAACTATCAGTTATATCAGTTGACGCACTAACACAATTTAATCTAAAAATCCAAAAATTATATATCGTAATAAAGCAAAGTTGGAATTTTGTAAACAACTTCTATGTTTATGATTAAAAATGTTTAGATGACGATAACAATACATATTTAACAGACCATTTGTCTAAATGAATGAAATGAAATCAATTACCACTTATAATATTCATAATCAAGGTCATCTTATTATGCAAATCAGACACCAGAAACACCACATCAGTTGTTTTGTTTTAACAAATATGGAACACAGACATTCATTATGCATTTTATTTATTCATAAGTGTTTTACTGTTTTGTATGAAAAACTGCCGATCGACATTGACTCATTTTCCAATGGCTTCTTACTAAAATGAAGAGAAATTTTTCATTGTGATTTCTAAATTATGCCACTTAAATTTTATGAAGAAAAAACGATGTTGAGATCCACAGTAATCAACTCTTTTATAAAATAAGTGTGTTGAACAGTGTCCACTAAGTCGCCGCTTATTACTTCTTCAAAGAATCTAAATATAATGGTAGAATCAGTAGACTTTGACAAATGACTACCAATAAATTATTGATTGATATATACTTGTGATAGAGAAGATTTTCAGGCCAGTCGAATCTTCAGCTTCACTACGATAAAATGTAATCACACTTAAACATCCACCTCATATATATTCACTTTCATTATGGTAGAGAACTCTACGTTTTAAAATAGGTGAATCTCAAATGATTCATTCAAAGTCATTTACAAAGTAAACAGAAAGCTACCAATGGCAGTATGTTTTCGACTTCTTTGTACTACAGAAGCCCTCGCAATACGCACTGAAAAGCTGGAGCTCTTTGTTCAAAAGAAACAACTACCATGAACCTAGTTCGGGATGTTCCCCTAGCCTTCGGTTTTTTTGTTTTGTTCGCTGTGTGTGATTTTTCTCTCTTTGTCTTTATTCGATTCATCCCATTTTTTCAGTTATAAGAACAGTTATTTTAAGTTTGTTCCCATGCTCTTCCTGCTCACTCTTGTGATTCGTTTAAGATAACTGTTTTTACAATTATATTCAGATCCTGTGTAATTTCTGTTTGTAAGCCTCTTGTAATGTACATTCACATCTCCTAACTTCCATTTCAAGTTGAAAATTATTATTTCATTTTGTTTCCATGCTGATTTTTTTCACACCTGTAACCCGTTCTAATCCTCTGTAATTTTTGTTTCCAAGCCTCTCATAATCCATATCAAGTCGAAAATAATTGTCACATTTTATTCGCTTTCGTAATTATGTGGAATTAAATAATGATTGTATCTAAGTAAATTTATGTATTCAAATTGTACAGCTTTTGAAAATGAAATTGTCGAGAAGATATCTTTGCTGAATTTCGTATTCTATTCTTTCTAATGCCCTGAAGGGTATTTTCCACCATCTCAAAATGAGATGTCAATCGAATCGATAAGTGAATGCGCACGGTATCGAAAATATGTAGGTTAATCACTGAGAAAATTTAATTAAGAAGCAGTAAAATCAGATACTAGTAACGAGGTGGATGAAGAATATTTACTTATGTGAAATGAAAACCCTACTTCTTTAACTCTATGTAATCGTAAAAGTAGCCAACATTGAAAACCAATGCTATTTGCAACGGATCCAACTACACATTTATTGTAGGACATTTGCAAATGCATTTTGATAATATGATGTTGCTTAGATGGAAGTCATCAGACATCTTATATGTCACCTCATCCATAAGTTGACTGTATCAGTAAGAAAAAAGCGATCAACCCATGACAAGGCAGACTAGAATAACGAGCGGGTGGACTGACTGTCGCATTAGTAACAGTCATAACAGAATCCTATATATGGAAAATATACTGGGCATAATAAAGCATCACGGAGGAAACTTCTGTTTTAAGAAATGTATGAAATAGTATATTCTTTTTCATCTAATTTTTCATGGCACATATCTAAATACTAAATTTCACGTTATGTGAGCTTGATAGTTCAGTTAATAAGTTTACAATATTTTCCTAGACAAACATAAAAAACGCATCAGCATTCAAATTTTTTCATCCACTTGGAAACTTCACACCTAGTTATACATATATTAGGTGGTTGGAGGCAATAGGAAAGAAGCCTTGGACCTAGTCGACACTCACCAGTCAGCGAGGCGTATCTGCTACCTTGAAGGAACTCACGCCCCTTCTGGGATTCAAACGCACGTCACCCAGTGCTGCAGTGAGAGACGCTACCACTGAGCTATTTGGGCTGTCGAATGGCGATTGCCTCCAACTATCTATTATCAACGATTCAATATGTACCGTGATGGTGAGCCACCTAGAATGCTGATTACACTGCAAAACCCTGACTGACAGAATTCAACCTGCAGTAAACAAAGGACTAGACAGATTACTTTAGTTACTAACTAGCGTTCAATCAAAGTAGGTGTACATACTGGCCAAACCAGAGTCGGTGGCACAGTGGTTAGGACTCTCGCCAACCATGTACATGGTCCGAAGTTCGATTCCCTGCCGACGCACACCTGATATATATGGTCGGCCTGCAATATTTGGGCTACCGATATCACATGCTGAAAATTCCATACTTGTACCAAAAATACGGTGTGGAATCAAGCTGTAATCAAAAATAAAAAGAAATAAAAATAAAAATTTTCCATTATTGTCCAATCCTGGGAAGGAACATTAATCTATGGCAAATGTCTTCTGCATCTAAAAACTATCCATGCCAATAGGTCTTGGACAGTTTCTAGGCCAAGTGTTATTTTCCCTGTTGCAGACTAAAGTTTTCATTGCGTTAATGAAAACAAACAGAGGTAACCTTCAAGTATCATCATACATGAAACCACTGAAGGCAATCTTAACAGGATGCAACAGACTGAGCGTCTGAAGATGATATAAAGAAAATCAGGTGTGGAGGAAATGAAAGCTAGTAGGTAGTCGTGGAGTCGGGCGAAAGTGATGGAAAAGAATCTCGAACAATAACGATGTACTGTTGAAACTCTAAGTTCCAATCAGAACGCAAGGGATAATTAGTTATAACAGAACTAAATTGTCAGATCAGAGAAGTTAATTGGTTATAGTAAACCAATGACCTCTCATAGTTTTGTTTTATTTACAAACCAGATGGGCAAATTAAAGTTTGGCAGATAATATTTTGCAGCGATAATCTGAATATCTTTTCGATTTAAATGGGACTCATATGTTCATATTTGGTTCCTATTATGTTCCCATGTGTTTGATTACAATAGAATGCATGTTAAGCGACCTATTTTTTTTCCCCTGAGCTATTCATTTACTTGCTCTTACACAACATTAAAAAGACTTTGTTTAAAAACTTTTGATTTGTTATCTTTTCCTCACATCTCAAATATTTTGGATCCCCGTACCTACATCTGAAAGATGAAATTCTGTGGACTCTACTTCAAACTGTATCTACAAGTTCACCTGCAGTTGCTGTGACACTTGTATAGGTAGAACCAATAGAATGTTCCAATATCGTCGAAAAGAACATGTTCCAAAATGGTTATTAAAGCACATAGAAAATCCCAATGAAATTAATCTGAATACAAATCCATTATCATTCTTGCAAAGCACTTTTTAATGTCAGGTCACAAAATCAGTATTAATGACTTTTCTGTAGTTGGTTTGTAAGGATAAGTTTTGTTTTTACGAGTTGATCACGGGTTGATATCGGATCCCAATTGCTGAATGGTATACGAGTTTGCCTTGTGACTGGAAGGTTCTGGGTTCGAACCCCAGCTGGTGCGTACTGCCAGTGATTCCCAAACTAGGACGAAACAGCTGCCTAGTACTCCCTGGTTTTCAATGGTTCTCTAACTGATATCAATCTGTGGTCAAACTCGTAGAAAACAAATCTAATCCTTACAAACCAACTCTTGACAATTATTTTCGTCCCAAAACTTAGATATAGTTTTCGTTCGTAAGATACCCGACAGTCTAGTTGGTATATACACTTCAGATTACATAGTACAATATTGTAAGCAGTCTGTATAGTGGGCTTTTGCTGTCGTCATATGGGACCGATTGAAAGGAAGTTCTGCTTGGTTTTATAGTACTTATAAAATATTCTTTGGCCTGTCTTCATTAAACCAAGTAATTATTAAGGGACGGTAAAAGAAACTTCATGTTGAAAGCCGTCCAATTTATGAGATTTAATTCACAAGAACGAATATTTTCTGATATACTTCCCATTAGAAAAGAAAACTGTATTGGCTGTTCAATTCTATGACTTGAAGATATATTGAAAGTAATAACAAACAAAAATCAGTTAAATGAAAGAAAGCGATTAAATCTTCGGTCTCTTTTTCAACATCCACTTTACAATATTTGAAATTTATATTCCATCCTTACATATATTCGGTGGATTTGCTTAAAAGAGCCTCTGCGCTAAAATTACGTATTTCGTTTTTATTAATATCTGGATGGGGATTATTCATAATGTTCTTGAAATCTTTAAGATATGATAAGCGTCGAATGGCTAATACACCGGGCCTGACAGGAGCAGGTGAGATAATATATGTATATAGAAATGGTCAGATGCAATATCTTGTCTTTCAAGCTTTGGCAGATCAATTAACGACAGGAAACACTACTCTTAGCGCTAAGCAAAGAATGTTCGTCTCAAATATTTTGAAATGTTTATCTTAAGGACATTGTAAGTCAAATCTCTCTTGAAATCAAAGTTTACGTAAAGTTTCTTTTTTGGCACAAAAGATGTCTCATTTCTCTGAATTCTCGGTCTAAAATTCATGTCAATAAACCTCGGTAAATAGCCATTTTGGATGAGGTTAACATTTTAACATTCTTCTAAAGCGTCAGAGTTGCAGACATGTCGGATGTGAACGGCAAAGAGTTTAATTAACTTTCGTCTCCATTCAGTAGGCGCCCAACTGCATAAACTTGTGATTTCGCAGCCCCATGTAGATTTCCTACGGATAGATCTTCTTAAAGTTGCGTCGGCTTTTCTTGTTAGTCCAACATCAAGAATTTTAGATTCATTTTCCATTCAACGATTGAATTTTAACGCTGGATGGCAGTTATTTACTTCCCGTAATAACTGATTAAGAATTGTCAGGAAATTTGCTATGAGGTTCCACTTACGGGAATGATCTGTTTTTTTTAGAAACATATGAATACCAAAAGCGTATTTGAAGCTATTATCACTGATTATTCGTATTCTTTTGATCTGATTACAGGACTTAAAACAATCCTAATTAAAATCCACTGAAGACAAAGTAGTTAGTATCATTAGAAATGGTGTTGTTTGAATGTGGACTGACTAACCTGTCCTATGATGGATGTTTTTGAGTGACAGTATACTCGGTGTGAAAATATAAAATACCCCGCAGAACTTTGATTAAGGAACAGAAAGCTCTCAAGTTCACGTTAATCCTTCCCTCATAGATTTGTATTCAAAATTTCATATCAAATCCATTGGTGACACCTTACATTAATTATCCTGGTAATCTCGACAACACAATAAGAAGACGTAGTTCATCGGAAACGTGTAGCCGAAATTCATAAAGGGAACTAATTGCTTTAAATCCTGGTAATCGATCTCAGTTATTTGATGAGAGAACTAGTGCTTCATAGGTTTCCTAAAGTTTGTTACCCAGTGACTCATAAAAAGGTACACCTGTGGCGGACCTTAGACTTAGCTACCTTAATATCTCGAATTCGAATTCAGGTAAGTAGTTACCTGGGGTTCTAGTGAGAAGTCGGGATCAGTAGGGTGCAGCTGGTCGGGTGTGAGGGCAAATACTTGCCAAAGACATTGGCTAGCGGTCGCGCTATGTCGTGAATTGGCAGAAGTTAGAATTCATGGGCCATTCGATCGGGTCCCAGTGGCTTAATGGTATACGAGCTCGCCTTGTCACCAGAAGGTCCTGGGTTCGAACCCCGGAGGATGGGTACTGATGAAGAGTCCCAAACTAGAACGAAACAGCTGTCCAGTACTTCCAGGTTTTCCAATGGTTCTCTAACTAATGTCAGCTCATGATGAATCCTGATATTAACCATCATTTTAATGATATACAAACCTAATGGCAAAAAGATATTAACATGAACAAAGTTCATCTAAATCATTGTTAGTCAAGTGAAACTAAAATATTTCTTCGTAATTAGTTAAACAATATTACAGCTGAGGAATTTTGAAAGAAAGAATAAATTCCTTCGACATTTTTAAATACTTAACTACTTCTAAGCTAGGTGAAAATATTGTGATGCTGATTGGATCTGAATCGGTTAGTCTAGCGTCTAGCAGACTGATCTACTAACTAGACCTCAATCTACTTCAACCGGCAGAAGTCTCAGCAAGGTATCGTT